ATAAAGGTTTTCATCATCATCATCAAGGAGTCACAGTTTTTAAAACTGGTGAACTGTGGAATGAGATAGAACACAGATACAGGGCTGGACAATGGAGCTGGTGTTTATTGGAAGAATTAGTGTTGTTTTCAGGGCTGATGGGGACTGGAATGAATGTCACTGATAGCACATAACACACTCACGCAAAAATAACGTGATTAACATGGCCAGAGGTCTCTGGGCTATTTTAGTGGTCACAAGGCCCCTGAGGAGAATCATTTGCTGAGTACAAAGGGCCCAGGCGATAAGATTTTAAAAAGCACTAGAGGGGATCCAGCGCACAGTCTGGATTGAATTCTATTTCAGTCAAGCTGTGAAAAAACTGTCGAAATTGCAACCCATATTCGTTCAGAATGAGACAAAGCATTTCACTTATTTTTATTTTTACAATTCCATGAAATATGGGACAATCCTGTAAAATACAGCATAAGAGGAAACTCCAGGTTTACAGTTTTATAGAACTAGGTTGGTTGTGGCCCCATTTCAGTGGAGGCCCCTGGACTTTGGTCTGGGTATCCCTGTACATCAATGCTCCCTTGCTGTCAGGTAATTTAATAACGACAATCATGTGGAACATGGACAGGAAAACATCTAGACAATTTAAAGTCTTCAGGATAATATACAAGAAAAAAAATAATTATCTTGTCTAACACATTGTGGTGAAGGAAGGACACATGAAATATGTTGGCTTTCTAACTGATTAACCATCATACACCTACTCTCAATCCATGGCACCATTATACGAGCATTGTGACATTGTGGTAGGTTGTGTTTTGTGATGATCAAACGAGATCCGTGAAATATTTTGTAAAAGTATGATGAGCAGAAGGCTAACACTCTTTAGTGCGTTTAGCCTGTTTTCAGTGTTTTTGACTTCAGCGAAAACAAATTTGATGGGATCTGTGTGCACTTGAGTCATATTTTAAGAATTCATAACCGTTCATGCCTTAGCTTGCACTGTTGTTCAGAGAGTCTTGGGCTTTAAAGGGCAGTTTATGGAATGTCAGTCGTGCACAGGTGAATGCAGGAGGAAGCATGAAGCGGGGAGAATGTGTGCACGTGTGCACATGTGAGCCTGCGTGTGCGTGTATGTGTGGGTGAGGGTGATGCATCGGTGCGAGAAAACGGATGCAGCTGCTGCCTCAGGATGCCCTATGCAAAAAAGGATCTGTAAAAATTGAATCATTTTAGCTAAATTTCAATTTATGTCAAATGTACCATAAATACTGAGGTTGTTGCCATTTAATAATGTGAATCAGAGATCCAAAGGTATATGATATAGGTACAATTTTTATTCATTCAGCAGACTAAATGTGCTGTTAAAATTGACCATAGTCAACAAAGTATAACAAAGCTGAGTATCCTAAAATTTGAAATGGCAAAACTGAGGAGAATTCCATCCACTTTGCATAACCAGTCATCCAGTGCTGGGTCACAGTGAGTCTGGGGCCCCTCCCAGTAAGCACAAGGCACTGGAAATGATGGATGGGCTGCCAGTCCCATGAGACTGCAGTAGCTAAAAGGCAAACCAGACAAACAAGCAGAATATGCAAACTCTGCACAGACACAAACACAGAGCATGGAATTGTGAGTCCACAATAAAATGAAAATTATACATGTAATATATGAAAAAATTATGAGACCACAGGAAAATTTTCAGTTTCATTCATTTCTCAATTTATGGGGATGCTTCTGTGTAAAATATACTGTGTAAAATATGAATTTTTTGGAAACTCCAACCTGGGTCTTACATGTTTCTCATTCATGAAGAGCTTCATCCATGCTTTATGGGACTTCTGTCCTGCATCTAGGAGTCTCTTGTAAATTACCCTAACAGTGCTCTTCACACCATTCTTTTTGAAAGTCATCCTTTGATTTATGAGGCACTGTTGGATAAGTTAACAGTCATCTCTGGCATTAACCTGGCTGGTTTCTGGTCATTCCCAGTGTCTCCTGCTTCACCTTATGTACTGCTGTCCCCAAAATGTTTAACCTGGGAGGCGGGAGCAACCCACTGCTCAGTGTTGCCTTAAACTAGGATTTAAAAAAATCAGATTTATTCACAAATGTACAGCTGTGTGTGTGTGTGTCTGTGTCCGTGTATAAGATTTCTCTATGGTGTGTTTCAGTCTGGGTTAAGATTACGCTATAGCCGTGGGACACTGGCCCAGGACTTGCTTAGCTCCTCTGATTGTGCTAATGGCTGGTTTTGGACATTGCCAACTTAAACTCTCCACCAATCATTCATTTTGGTTTCAGTGGACAGAAGACTTTGTGGTTTAATCTCCCAATCTGATAGTTACGTTTTTAATGAACAGGTTATGCATTGTTGAAATACTGTGTGGTCAAGTTTTAATCTGTGCTGTGCTCACTGCTATCACCATTTACCAGTATTAACATAGGAGGTGACTTAACGTTTCTACATTGTCTATGGCAGGGTTCTTCAACTCTGGACCTCGATTCCAAATCCAGGCCATGTTTTCAGTTCCCCCAGGTAGTTGTTTAATAATTACTGATTCTGATTGGTCAGAGGCTTCACACCTGACTGACAGGTAAAGGAAGGCTGGAAGACCAGCAGTGCTCGGACCTCGAGGACCGTGAGTTGAATAACCCTGGTCTATGGTGTGTCTGTGTCCTACAATAGATGGGCATCCTGTCCAGGGTGTTCCACTGTTTTGTAACTTATGCTGCCTGAGTTAGGCTTAAAACTAAGAACCTTATCACCAAGACTGGTAGATCCAAACCTCAAGGTCACACAATGGGCAGAGGTGGAAAGTTCAGGTTCAGAAAGTATAAATCCAGACCAGGAGTTTGTTTCAACCAACCAAGAGACACATTCCAATGAGTACTCAATTGGTTGACTGAAACAAAATCTTGGTCTGGATTTGTACTTTCTGAACCTGGACTTTCCACTTCTGGTAATGAACCATTAACCATACTGGCTATGAGCACTGGCCTCACCTGTGGCAGGTTACTAGTGAACAAAATGGTGCATCACACATTTAGGGCCATAATCCATCTGTACAGTAGAGTGTGATTACTTTGGTCACAAGATGCTTACTGTTTTGTATAAAGTTAAGCACAAATGTCACCTGCACTCACCCACTCAGTCTCCTGTGGCTAACAGGTGGATCAGCAGATCAGTCTTCCGCCATTGTTGTCCTCCCCATCAGCATTGTACACCCTGTATGGAGCTGGATTTGTGATTTATACTTTATATAGACACTGCATGGTTGCCGCTTTTGTTTCACATGGAAAAAAAAAAAAAACACGAAATCGCTTTAAAGTGTTTTGAGAAATTTTGTAAATAGATTTGCCTAATTAACTGGATTATTATCTCATCCAGGGTAATGCTACTGAAGATACCCCCCAAACAAGATAAATGGCAAGACTATGGGTGAATGGATGGGTATTCATCTAGTTATTAATGTTTATTTATGTTATTTCAAAGCAATTAAGAAATAAAGCACAGAATAGTGCAACAGAATAAGTAAATTAAAGCTGCTATATTTAATGACCTGATATATTTAATGATTATCAATTGAAATAGATTACTGCGTTTAATGACTGTGGATTACTGCTTGAATATAATTTAAACGATGTGTTAAGATCAAAGAGTAAAGTAATTTCTGACTAAAAGAAGCATTACTTAGGTTTTTAGATTTGATTAAATAACGGGTCCTCCTGACTCCATTGAAGTGTCCTTGAGCAAGACACTGAACCCCAAATTGCTCCCGGTGAGCTGGTTGGCGCCTTGCATGGCAGCCTCCGCCACCGGTGTGTGAATGTGTGTATGGATGGGTGAATGTGAGGCATAACTGTAAAGCGCTTTGGTACTCGTAAGAGTAGTAAAAAGCGCTATATAAATGCAGTCCATTTACCATTTACCATATTTTGTCTTTCTTAAATAGAAATGTAAACATTGTAGTCAGCTATGACGTCGCACGATCGCACGTTACGTGCATGTGTACCCTGCAGCATTGTGAGGAAGGGTGCACAAGCAGGGTGTCTTTCTCTAAGGCAAAACTTTGATCATTATCTGTAAAAAAAACATTACAAAACAGCGACCTGGTATTGGGTCTGGAGTGAAGATAATTGTATGACACATGTCAGTGGTTCTCAGCATTTTTTAACCGCTACCTAATTTTTTACTATGCCAGTTCAGTCACTACCCTATATCAAGTATAGGTTCACATTAACGCTGTGATCAAGCGCGCAGTGCACTCTGTAATTTATGCTAATCAATGCCTATCGCACAAATCTGATTGGATGTGTCAGTGGATTTTAAATGACGCTTCTGTGGTTTGGTTTCTTGGATTGGTTGAGTGTTCACTAATTGTACACTAAGCATATGCAGACCCTAAATTAATTAAAGGATTGGGGCAAGGAAATCTGATCATGGATCGATAATAGTGGCGACAGAAACACTTCAAAGTCAAATTTGGATATCAAAACACGTATATTTTATGTTAGCTAGTAATAGTGTGTTAATATCAAGAATTTCTCCTTCAATTCATATGTTTATTTATGGTAACAAATAACCTTAAGTTACATATGCTTCATATGCATATTTTACCGCTCTGTAATATTCTTATGACTTAAATTCATTCAGTAATTAAAGCACATTCATGTAGAATATATATAGGTCCAAGACCTCACTAGTTTTAAACCCTGGCTACCCCAGATTGTGATTACATAGGTCTAATTTAAAAACTCAATAAATACGTATATAAAGTACGGAATAGAAACACCTGTCCTTAAAAACTCAAAATTCCATTCTCTCCAGCTATGAGTGATATATATATACCTTTTAAAAAAACATTTTTCATCCAGTAAAAGTGTAACCTAATTTCACGTTCAGAGATCCCTGCCCTGAGGGTATTTTTTTTGCGTGGTGCGTAATTTGAAATAACTATACACCAACGCGGCTTGAAATTATCTCCAAAACAAATGACAGTTTTTATAACCGCAATAAAGAACACTGAAATACAATTTAAATATAATCGGTAGAAGTGTTACATTAACTTGCAGTCTTGGAGATTTTAAAGACCTGCCTCGACGCGACAGAGTTGTCTAAACTTGCCTATATAAAATATGCATGTAATAGGAAAGTAAAGTAAGGGACAAAATAGTCAAAGCGTACCCCCGCACGGGTGAGTCACGCCTTTGAGCTCAGGGGATACAAAACGGCAACGGACGGGAAATCTACCTGTAAAAGAAGAAAACAGACACTTTTTATCCGAGAAACTACCATCGCACAGGTATGGATCATCGCAGCGCTTTTTAACTTCACAGCTGACCCTGTGCAAAGGCTCTATAGCTTTATCTGGTGGGCGATTTAAGGATGCATTTAATTCGGCTTCGGGTATTAGTCACTTGTCGGCTGTAGAAACAAGTGCAGCTTAATAGATTTTACGATGAGCCAACTTGAGGTTTTACCTGAGGCCGGGCTTAATTGGAATCGTTTAAATGATCTGTTGTCTTTAGTGTTATTCGTGAAAAAGCGGTATTGATACATATCAAACTACTCTACAGCTTGTGCCAGCATATATTTTTACAGTAAACACAAATGTTTCCATTTTTTTGTCATATGTTTATTATATAGATAGGCCTATGAATTAGGCTATATATACCCATATATGGTTTTGGCATATTTTTTTCTAATGTAAATGATTTACATATATAAGGTAATTAATTAAGGTACAGTAATGAAATGTAGGCCTACAGTTATATGAATGATTAGAATTCTTTAACATCAGAAAGGGATTTTACATACTGGGAAAAACATCTTAAAAACAAGAAAGTGTTAGGTGGTCTATCTTTTGATGTGTATACCGGGAAAACGAAGATACACACAACTTGGGAGGTAATCTTAAGTAACGCCGCTGCAGATTGCGGACACGCTCTAAGTGTTTCGTTAGGAGCGCAGCTTTGCTCCTTCGCCAAACCTTCACGCGTTCCGGCTGCACGTCAGAGCGCCAGTGGGGATGGACAGAAGAAAAATGTTGGTAGTAGTTCAGCTGCTTTTGCTGTTTGCAGTGAATTGTTTTACTTTAAAATGTTAAAATTGACCCCTGTTTTTTCTCGGAAAAACTTCAATATGATTATTTTATGAGCATTTATTAATTTGGTCATTCACTTCCTAAATATGTAGGCCTAAGCATTTTAGTGTTTACTAACACTACAAATTTTCTTTGTTCTTGGAGCAGCTTTTAAGTAAAACTGTCTATATATCAACACAGTATGAGTTTATCAATTTAATGTTTCATTCTATAAGTTTTCATAAACTAATATTTACGTTATCCAGTGTACACTCCCAGAAAAAAGGGTAAAATTTGTACCTTTGCTTGTCACCGGGGCTGTACCCTCAAGGGTCTGCCAATTGTACCCAAAGCTGTAGATAATTGTACCTGTAAGGTGCAGAAATGGACTCTGTACCATTAATGGTACATTAATGTTGTTTGTACCTTTTGGATGTTCCTCAGAATCCATTTCTGTACCTTAAAAGGTACAATTACAAGGGTACAGCCTCAGTGACAAGTAAAGGTACAAATTTTGACCCTTTTTTTCTGAGATTGTAGGGTAATTATTAGCCCAGGAAGCACAGAGCACAAGGCAGGAGACACTAAGGTGGGATATCAGTGCATTGCAGAGCAAACACACTATGGGCAATTTAGACACACTAATAATTTATGGACTGTTGGAAGAACCTCAAACCTTGGGAGAACACGCAAACTCCATACGCACAGCTGGGGTGGTAAGGGCACATTCCTGTGCAAACAGAAAAATAATTTCATCCAATGTGGGAATTGAGGTGGAAAATCTAGAACTGATCAAATTTGGTTTAATTTTAAAATACATGATCATTCGGAATTAGACACAAGTACTGCTGATCTATTTTGCCCCAGAGTTTGTATTGTACATGCATGTCTGTGCAAGTCGCACATTGATGCTTTACTATGTATCTGTGGACAAGAAATATGACTTTTCCAGGGCTGACGGGTATAACTCTGCTCTGGTTTGGAACAGTTAACATGGGATGGACAGCTTAAGGAGCCAGAGTAAAAGCCACTGTGGTGGGACTTCGGGAATGTCCGGAAAAGGTGAGAATGGGAAGAAGATCCGGAATGGTGAGAAGGAATCTGCCGGCTGCCTAAGAAATCAATCGGTGCTTCTTACAATATCGACATTTATCAACCTTGAGTTCTATTAAGTGTACAAAATGTTCAGCACCTATTGACTTTTATGAAAAATCTTTCTCCAGAATTTTCCCCAGATAATTCTGGTTCTACTTTGCCGCTTGACAGAATTCTCCCAAACGGAGCCCATTAGTTTATTCTACTTACCATCATCCCATTGCATACAGGAAAATAACGTTAGCCTACTTGCTTAAACTCTTAAGAAATTATAGTTAAACTTTCATCCTTATCTTAGTTATGAATTTTCAAGACGACCATTTTTTCAAGGCTCACCAGGCAGATATGACTCGTGATAATTTAACCATTCTTGTCAAACTCTGTTTCCAGCATGTTTGCAGGTGCTCCTCGCTTTACGATGTTTCGACTCGCGTCATTTTGACTTGCGGCGCGATAGCGATGCACATTAAGTAGTCAGCTTTGAATTCTGATCTGTTCTTCGGCTAGCAATACGCTGTACGATATGTTCTCCTGACACCGAGCAATGGTAGCATCCAGACAGCCACGCTTGCAGTCTCTGAGAGTAAATATCTCATAGATTGACAACATACCATACTGTGTACTTTTTTTCTGTGTTTGACCAAATAAACTTGTTTACATTTATTTTATTTTCAATAACTGGTATTTAGTTAGTTACAATATTTATTTATTTACTTGTTTAGTTACAGTAGTTATTTACTTATTCATTAATCTTATTTTCATATTCAACTAGCTATATTTTCCACTTCGGATTGGTTTCAAAGAATGTAAATTTAATTAACTTGCGACAACATTCCTAAACATTTACTTTTGACTTTGTATGTGAAATCCACAGTTGTGACTGAAACTGTAACTACGACAACCAGACTGACTTCTCTTCCACCGAGTGAGTTTTTTGATCCGTCTTCTAACCTCTATCCAGTACAGGAGAACGTTTGAGCGTATCCTAGTAAACACGGGGCACAAGTCAGGGAAACGCATCCATCTCAGGAGACACACCCTCACGCACCATGAAACTCCACCGGGTTCAGAACAACTTGAGCAGGGTTTCCCAATCTGGTCTTTGGGCACCCACAGACGGTCCACTTTTTGCCTTCCTCCTGGGAGCTGGGAAAAATGAAAAGGAAGCATAGGCTCTGTTTACACTTGGTTTTAAAATGTGTCTTAGCCATCGGATCACGTGTCAGCCGAGACACTTGTGTATTTAGTGCTGTCCACTTGAGATTTGATCACTCAAGACACATTTTAAGACCAAATGTAAACAGGGCCAATATATTTGAGAATATGATGAAACTATGTATCTCCACTATAATTGTTGACCATTAGAGGGCAACAGTAGCTCAATCAGCAGCCAGCGGATCGTGAGCAGCAGCACTTCTGAGGGGGGGCTGATGGAGAAGAAAGTCATCACACACCGCAGCAGTAAGTATGTCACGTCATGTGACTCCCACTCGGAACTTTTTAAATGGCCATTTTTATTTATAATCTTAGGCAAGGTCCTAATATCATTCTGTAACTCATCCTGGATTGATTGCTTTTCTTCAAGCATAAGTTTGTAAGGAATATGTTCACTGAATTCAATCAGAAAAGTTCCATGTCCACAAACTAATAAAATCTAAAATATGATCACTTTCATGCCAATTTTAACTGACGTTGACGTTTTGCATGTATAACGTACAGTATATTGTAAAGCAACAGTATAATAAAAAACAGTACAACGGCATGATGTAAAGCAATTGTTAATATTATAAAGCCTGGAATCTTGAAATGGGCAAAAAGTTGAGTTGCTGCAGTGTGTTGTTCTGAAATAAATGTTCAGGTTTTTTCATGTCCTGGTCTCATCAATCACCTCTTTTTCATTCCTCCAGATGCAGGTGGGGTTTCCATAGGAATGTCTGGTGGAGGTGAAGGAGGGGGTTCTGCGGGAGGTACCTCGCTGAGTGTTTCTGGGGGAGGCGCGGGAAGCAGCTTCGTAGGTGGTTCGAGAGGTGCCTCTGTGACTGGCTCTGGTGGGGGCGTGGTTACCATGACTACAGTCACCACCAAGGGGAATGCTAGCTCTGCTGGCTTGGGGGGCATGAGGAGAGGTCAGGGCTCCTCCTCATCTACCAGCTACTCCTCTGCCGCTGCTGAGAAGAAGGCCACGGGCATGTGCTCGCTGTCTTACGAAGGTGAGGCTGAGGTTGCCCTTGGCACCTATGTAAGACTGAGGCGGAGTCATTGTAGAAAACTTCCTTGATCAGTCCTTGCAGATCCCCAGATAGTCCACGTTTTTGTTTTAGGGAATTGGTAGGGAGAAAAAATGTGGACTGTCTGACAGGGAGCTGGGAGGGAGCAAAAATGTGGACTGTCTG